GTTGGCAGCTGAGGAATTCAGCAGATGTATGGAATAGTTTTCATTTGGAAACCAGGCAATCTCTCCTCTGCCTCAAAAATAACAAAGCCCTCTAGCTAAAGAAATGAAAGAATTGAAACAAAAATTAGCTGATCATATAAAACCACAAACATTTCAGAATAAGGCTGCCTATGTTGAAACTTGTTCCAAAGAAATAGCTAGCACAAACATTAAAAGGTGCCACAGTGCAATATCAACTATAAGGACCAGGAAACAAACCAATTAATCTACAGCACAGCTGCAGTTATAACTGAATACCTAGATGCAAAATCAACTAAGAAGAAACAAAGCCGGGCAATACACCACCAAAATGGAAGATAGGATCAGCAAGCTGAGATCAGATGCAAAAAAGCTAGAGCAGATGAAAGAAAAGAAACTGAAGAACAAGAAGACCAAAGAATACCTAATCAAGAAATACCACTTTGAAACAANAAAAAAAAAGAACTGTTTTAACTATAGAAGGCAATTTGTCCAACCTTTAGTGAATTTTTTTGCCATTACAATTACAAATCCCTTGGGTGTGTAGGGATATCAAGTGAATATTATGTTAACCACAACACTGTTTTATCAGGCAAATGTGGTTTTAGCGTGGGTGCAAGTTGTTTCCTTAGATGCCAAAGTGAATCTTACACAGACTTTGCTTCACACAACACAGTAAACTCTTCTATATTTGGCATAGTTTACTGAACAAGGCAGAGTTGTCTGAATTCACATCATAGTTTATAAATCAACGTCAGTGGCCTCGTTAAAGATAATCTTAGAAATCAAGAGGCTTGAATTCTGGTTTATAATGACATTATAGAGCCAGACTACAAAAATCAGTCTTGATTAAAACCTTAAAAGACCAGAAGACTTAAATCTATGTATTAGTATTCAGTGGCATTAGGTGCCGATGAGAATATGTATTCTGAATTTCTGATATGGCTAATGCTCCTCCACACCCCATCCCAAGTTTATTTGGTTTTTTTTTAAAATTGAAACAATACAAATATTTTTTATTAAAAAACAGATTCATTTTTAAATAAATTATGTGTTCCCTTTTCTTGTCTGTTTCCTTACTTATATTAAGTAAGCTGCAACGTTTTATAGCAGCGTTTTTCAAGAAAGTTTTGTGACTGGGGGATTCTGGGAGCTGGAAGTTCACCGAAGTTTAAAGTTGCTGAGGTTGAGCAATGCTGACTTAAGAGTAATCTGCCTCCTCAAGTTTTAAATTTATTCTTGGGCAAATACCTTCGCATGAAAGAGGAGAACAGCAGTAACGTGGCAGCCTTTACTGACTTGGCAGATTCGAGAATAAGTTACGTAGGCCGAGTCAGTCTTCACCTTTCAAGGTATGGGGAGGCGGTTCACCAAAGCTCCTCCCGCCCTGCCCGGATCCCGGTACCGTTGGGCAGGCTGCAACTCCACAGTGAGTGAACCGCGCCGACCTGGAGCATGGCGGAGTCGCAGATTCTTTGCCTGGAGGATACTCACGTCAACGAACGGGTTGGTGAACAGAATCCGCGATACTACTACAGCGAGGAGCAACGGCGGGCACTGGAGGTCCTCGTGGGCGACGGGGAGAAAGCGTATAAGTCGCACCTGAAGAAACAGCAGCTGCCTGACTTCCTTTCCAGCAGAGAGTTGGAGGTCTTGCGGGGAGGCTGGCGTGCTTACGATGCCCACCTGGAGACTGGCAAAACGGTCACCGGACCTTCGGGAAAGCCCCTTTCGCTGTCTTACTGGCCCGAATGCTCCGACACCGAGATCCCTCCGCTGGACATGGGGTGGACTCATAACTATTTCTACCGGGGAACCTCGCGTCTAGCTCTGTACACGCACCCGCGCAAGGAAGACAAGGCGCCCCACGTCAAGCAAGTGGTGCGTGAAACGATTCAGCAAGCGAAGAAGGTGGGTAGTTCGCCTTTGCGCCTTTCAGATCTGAGGGCAGCTCCCCAACCAGCCAGCCAAAGCCAGCGAAGTCCTCTGCCTTCTGACCTACCTCGACGTAAGAGCTAACTTGCCCCATAATTCCTCCAACTTGAGCGAGGGGTCTCTTCCTTCCCTTCACCGACGCGGACGTTACCTCTCAAAAAGGTAGCGTTTGCACCCTCGCCAGGAATCAAATCTTGTTTAATCAGTTTCAGCGTCTTGTGAAACCTGCTGCTGTAATTGATTCGGTGAATTATATACAGTAGCTGCATAAGCTACGGTGTGTACTGTGCAACAAGCATACTGGAACATCTCTGGAAAGTTTTGTTTAGATTGACAAAATCAGTTGAAGGAATGTTGTTCCAGGCCCTAAACATTTCCTGTCCACTAAAGTCCCTTCTCTAATAAACCAGCATCTTTTTTTCTGCTTACAGCTAACAAAGGTTCGGTTTAAAGAAAGATTGCTTAATTTGCCTCTGGAAGGAGCTTTAGGATATATAGCTTATAGAATCTTATGAAAAACCAACTCTACAGAACAAGCTGTAACATGTTCTTTGAAGTGATCTGTGTTGTTTTTTTTTAATTTTCAACAGAATTTTTTTTTCATTATTCCATGCAAATTTCTCTGACTCAATATATATAGATCCTAAATTTACCTTTTAAAAAGTTAGGTGAATTATTTTAATTATTACAAAGTGCAACCATTTTCCTTATGCATTCAGCCAAAGTAAAATAAATGGTAATGACATTAAGAATTCATAGATTGTGTCAATATTTTTAAATTATTAAACCACACTTTCATCTCTTCTGAAAGCTCGTGTTTTATATATTGCCCATAATAATTTTACAAGATAGAAAAGATACCTCCCAAGAACATTTGAATGGGATTTATCCTACCAAGGGAGAGTATCCGGTTGATCTTGTCTGGGCTAAGGAAATAATTAGGGTCAGATATTAGTAAATACTTAAGAGACTTCTGGAAGAAAAATAAAAGTTCTCCTTGAATCTAGTACTCCAGTATTTTACCATTATCACTTTTAGGATTTGAGGGCAAGATCTTGGCAATATTTTAGAGCAACAAATGAAAATGTCACAAAATATTAAAACTGCTTTTAAGTTCATTAGGCTGCTTATTAACAAAGCAATGTTTATGTAGAAAATGTAAAGTCTTTAATGAATAGAGCTTCTAAAGGGATTGTGGGTTAGGCAATACCAGGTGTTATAGAAGTAGCAAGGACTGTGTTTGCATATGGCATCCACAAACTAGCCTAATGTATTTTGAGAACCTGGCAGTAAATACACACTCAGTAGTTGGGTTACTGGTTATCAGTAGTCAGGAAAAGCAAATTTATGTTGAATGGAGTAACACTTAGAAATGTAAATACTCATATCTTGAATATGTGTTCAGGAAGGCCCAGGAAACCAGTTACCTTTTACAATTCTCACCTTCCTTTACTATTGGCCATTTGAGCTGCTATGAATATAGTCCAGCAACATTTGAAGGATCAAAATATGCCTAATCTTTATTCTAGAGCAGGGGTGTCAAGCTCATGTCATTACAGTGGCGTCATGTGATGTAGCGGGACTTTTCCCCCCTTTGCTAAATGGCATGGGTGTGGCCAGCGTGTGACTCATCTGGCCCATGGGCCGGGAGTTTGACAGCCCTGTTCTAGAGGAAAGGGATGTCTTCTTTAAAAGATAGATGACAACTTTAAGAACATTTTGCAGACTAATCCAGCCCTTGCAGGTTTTTTTGTAAGTAGCTGTCCTAGATAATTTGTTCTTCAGAACTATCTAAAACAATATAATACGTAAATCCTAAAATCTTAAGGTAAGTTTTTTTTTTAAAGAATTCAATTTTAATTTTTTTCTACTTGGAAACCGCTTCTGGACTTTGCTTAAGGGTGGGGAAAAAATTTGATTTTGGGTTTTACCAATTAGATCAGTGGTTCTCAACCTGTGGGTCGGGACCCCTTTGGGGGTCAAATGACCCTTTCACAGGGGTCACCCAAGACTTTTAGGAAAACACATATTTTTGAAAAAATACGGAAANTTTACTTTGAAAGAAATCTGCGCGGCAGTTAGAAACCTCTGCACGGGGGTTTCTTGCCATGTGCGCGGCCGTGCAGCCGCGCACCTTAGAGGGAACAGTGGCAGAAATGAGTGAAAAGCAGGCCCTTTTTTGCTAATTTTTGCCCCCCCCCAAGCCCCCAGGTGCACTTTATAAGCCTCCTAAAGGCTGTGCATCCCCTTTTTTGCAAAAAAAAAAATTAGCCCATTTTCATAAAAAAACGGGCTGTTTTTGGGAGGTCTGCAGAATGCAAAAACTTTTTTTTTTTAATTTTCCCCTTTAAAATCTTGGTGCGTCTTATACTCCGGTGCATATTATACTCTGAAAAATATGGTGGTTAGGTACTGGTCATAATTGCTCATCTCTGAGGGTCTCCAAAGCAGGTTTCTTAAGAAAACATCTAATGATTGCTTCCTTTAAATACAGGTTAGTCCTCGACTTACAACAGTTAGTTTAGTGACTGTCCAAAGTTATAACAGCACTGAAAAAAGTGATGTATGATCATTTTTCACTTGCAACCATTGCAGCATTCCAATGTTTATGTGGAGTGATTCCCTTAACAATCGTGGCAAGAGAGCAGGATCATAAAATGGGACAAAACTCACTTAGCAACAGAAATTTTGTGCTCAATTGTGGTCATAAGTCGAGGACTAACTGTAAAGAGGAGCCCTTCTCTTAGACATTTTATGATCCTGCTCAAAAAGTTCAAACAGGTGTGGCTATTTTTTACCTCCACACACCTCTTGATGCTTAATCTACCTAAGTCAATACGATGTAATGATCAAGTGATAAGATTGGGAAAATCTGATAGGTGGGTGCTTGGTGAATAGCCCTGTCTACCACAGCAGTTGTTTTGTGAGCATACCTACCATACCAAAACTCCAAATGTGCTCTCAACCCAAGATATTTGCCTATCTCTAACATAAGAGATCATAACCTCCCTTTGTGCATTATTTAATGTGTCTTTTCTTTTTATCAGAACATTCGTGTACGTTGTGTGACTGGAGTCGGGTTCTACATGCCATCAGGGAAGATCCAAGGCAATTTGGCCAGTCGTTTCTTAATGGTAGATGGTGAAAAAGTCCTCACTGGATCTTATAGGTATACATTGCTTGCCTTCAGGAAACCAGAGCTTAAAACTAGATTTATGTTGAAACGTTCGAAACATGGCATATTCCATTTCCCCCTAAACATTTAGCATTTAAAATCAGACAATTATCCATTTACTGGGGCTCAAAATAATATTTTGTCAGTACTATCCCACCCTACTCTCTCTTTCTGAATTCTCCAGATTGCTTTGGGTTGCAGCTATTATTTTTATCATTGGCATTCTGGCTGATGCTGATTGGAGTTCAAATCCAATAACATTGGTAGGATTCCGGATTGGGTATCCTATGTCCGCAACTTTATGAGTCCTTCTATCTGACATCTCTCAAATAGTTTCAGAATGGACATAATCTTTTTGCCTGCTTGTTTGTTTTATGATAGAGCTATTGAAGGCTAAACAGTAAGTTATGATAATTATATATTGTTTCCATTTTCCAAAGTAGAATTCTTCCAGGAACAGTTGTAGGGTGCAAATACATATGTATATGTACTGTTCTTAAGTCCTGACTGTGGGCTTCTTATAGGCTATTAGTGCTTGGAAGGATGTTATGTTTGCAATATTCATTTTACTATTCTACTGAAATATTTCGGGTGACGTTGCTTCTAAAAAACTGAACCTAATTAAAAAAACCTCCACTATGTAACAATGTAGGACAACATTTAAAAAAACCCACAAAATGTTAATATACTGTTTTTTTCTAAATTTGTAGATTTCATCATAAACAATAATTCAGCTTTCTTATGAGGAGAAAAGTAAACAGATATGTTTACATATCAGATTTCTCTATATATGTTAAACTGAGCACAATTTTTTCTAGAAAAAAAACTATTATGTACATTTGATATATATCAACCACAACACAGAAAAATCAAGTAAAATTATATATATATATACATATACATATATACATATATATATATACACACATACACATACACACATACACACATACACACACACACACACACACACACAC